CGGGTTGTTTGGTTGTTTGGTTGTTCCGCTGTTGAGCAGGGCGGAGGGGGGAGGGGAAACTAGACAGCTGCTGTGAACTGGCACCAAAAACAGGAAACTTGTTGGGTGTGTGTGTCGTCTGGTGTGCGTTTTTCTAATTCAATTAAAATTGGCTGCCTGCTGCTGCTGCTGCGACAAGGACAACTACAACGCAGCGGCGCCTCATTATGGCGTCTGCATATGCAGCCCAGCCCCTGCTTTTGGGTGCCACCCGGCGCCTGAGCCGTGTAAGCATCTGTTTACGCTTGTATTGGTGTTAATGTTAACTGTCACTGCATTTGGCCGTGTGTGCTCGCATCGGGTCCTGCCTGTGCTCTCTGCCTGTGCTCTCTGCCGCTCTGGCTGCATTGCTGTTTTAGTTGATTATGTAACTGTAAAAACCATGTCTGTGTTTTTGTGCGTGTGTGTATTCGAGTCCCGTTGCGTGTTATAGATTTAGGCCATGTTGCTGTCGTTGCTGGTTAGCGTGCCTTGTAAATAATTGAATAACAATGCCTGCAATTTTTCAACATCATGTGACAATGTTTGTTTTACTTTGGGTATTAGATTGCCCGATATTGCATATTGCCGCGCCCAACCGATTTAGATAGCCAAAATCCGATAAATCGAACTCGTTTAAATTTAATTAATAATAACAATTATGTATTCATTCAACATCAGTTTAACATGCTTTATAAGTTTATTCATTTAAAATTATCAAATATTTATTGATATAAATCGATCAATCTTTTTGTAGTCTTGAACAGTCTGTTAGCTATGGTAGAACTTTAATTTTCGATAATCGAAAGCTCTTAGCACCGATATTTTAACACTAAAATCGATAAGTACTTACATTAGTTATGCACTTCAATTAGATTTTGCAACCTTTTTATTTTTTAAATTTAATAAAAGGCTACTAAACAAATTATTTAATATTTTTATAGCGAAAACTACAGATAACTGAAAAAAGCGATGTTAACAGTTGGAAATCGATACTGCCGATCGATAGCTGATAACGGTTGTCAAGTTATCATCTAAGCACTTACTTAAGTAAATTTAAAATGAAAACAACAGCTTTAAGCCACATTTCATAAGCGCAAGTTTGCTGCTTTTAAATAAAAAAATATGTATTGCAATATGGCAATTGCGAAATATTAGAGCCAATTTTAATTAATGTTTTAAGTTGGCGGTTGGGCTAAAGTTGCCTCCACTTGCCCCAGTTCGTGTGCCATTGAATATTTTGCGCTTTTTGCATGCATTGTGTGATATTAAATATTTCGCAAGGGGGCCGGAAAACAAATCAAATTGCAAAACTTCCATTATTATTGCTATTACGTGAATCATAGATTCGCACAGCTGAATTTTTAATGAATATTTGAATTGCATTCTATGCAGCCGTATTAGTTCCCATTGGTTCGGTTCTTATTTATTTAAAAGCGCAGCACGGTTGATTAGAGACGTGGCAGGCAAATATTTTTCAAATTGTCGCAAAATATCCCGAATAAATTGGGCATTAAATATGTATATAAACAAGCACACGTATCGAGCTAAAATTGAAACTTAATTATAAACATGAACTGCCCAAATAAATGCTAATCACATAAAGCACACCCCGAAAAGCCCTAGGTAAATATTAATTTAACCCATTGGTAAACGAGATAAAAGCAAATATGAGCCTAAATGACTGAGCAAAGCGAATTGAAACTGCTTCTATAATTCTCGAATTAGGTATTTCGAATATAAATTTTAGTCGAAATTTATTCAAGCATTCCTAATAAGCTGAATGCTTAAGTACACGCACACACACACACACTCACACACTCACACAGGCACACTCCCACAAACACACACACGCACACACAGTGTTTGTCTTTGGTATGCACAATGTTTCATGCAAATTATAGTTTCGGCTGGAAATTTCATTTTAATCAGATCCCAAAATGATGACAAAGGCAACAGCATGAGTATCATAGACACGACATGTTAATAGATATTCTGTGTGGGCGGGGCTGCTCGAACAAAGTGATTAATTATGGTTAATAAAGAGGAAAATCGTTACCGATTAAAGTTTTTGCTTTTGTTTTGTATGTTAAGCTAGTTTGATGTGCATGGAATATTTATTTCTTGACAGTTTATATGCTTGAGTTCGTTTCAGACGCACTGAAAGGGTTTAATGAGCCAATTAACATGCGTTTTGGGGTTGATAAACATTCGAAAATTAATAAATACACGCGTTATACATTCAAAAAACATTTTAAAGATTTTAAAAATGTTTTTTAAACTAAAATTAAATTTTAAATATTTTACTATATTTTATATGTATATTTAATCGCATATCTTTCTCACGACCAAGAGAAATATATTTCCAACTTATGAATAGATAAGTTCATACACGTCTTCATTTTACAAAATTTTTAATACGATTTCTTGATGTCCAATTACATTGGCCGCGCCTTGCTCTTTGCTGCCCCGCCTACCCGCTGCCCGTTGGCGAGGGAACCGAGCAATGCACATAATTCACATGGAGCGTATAATTGAAATATCGTGACTTGGCGCTATACTATGCCCGGCACATAAAATTTTATTAAATGCCGGTCGGCGGCAAGAACAACGAGTACAATGGGAAAACTAGACGCACCAGCCATTATAACTTTGGACATAATTTATGATAGCACTTGCCGCACTCTCGCTTCAAATACATGTACATATGTATATATAAAAAGTATACTGTTCCCAGAGGGAACGCGAGTACATTCTGTAATGGCTATCTATGAATCTATAAAATGAACGTTAGTAGCTCCAAACTTTGTAACGATTTGTTTGTGTCTGTAAATTGTCAAGATTGCAATATTCTATATCTACTACAATGTTATAAGAAGAATAAAGAAGTTGCGTTTGTTGGTTTACAAAGGATCCATTTCAATTTTATACGCTATATGCCTTGCAGTTTGAAGTTAGGGATTTGGAGTCTCGGCAATTTCTAAAACTCATATTTTAAGAGTCATACTGACAGTTTAAATATCCCCGTGTCCCTGTTCTTAAATAGAGGAAACAGAGTATTATATGGTCGTAAATTTTCTTTTCATATTTAGATTTTTTTTTTAGCTTCATGCATTTATTTTGAACTTTGCGTGCGAACAATAATATATACAAAGCACGAAGCTCTGTCAAATTTGCCAAATGCTCGAATTGCCCAAGTGCCAGCAGATACGATAAGAGCACAACAAATACAGATACAGAGATAGATGCAGATACCGCAGATACTTAAAGATGCTCTGTACTGTAATTGTAAGTCACTTTGCATGTGCGACACGCAGCCTGCCACATCCTGCATGAGCGTGTGTGTGTGTACGGAAACGCGTGTGCCTTTAAGTAACGATACACTTGTGTGTCTACTGACGACCCTGATGCGGCTGCTGATGCTCTTATCGCGCTTCGTAAATCACGGAAATACAATGTAACAGTTTGTCATAAAGTTGGCAGCCGCGTGCACACGACGCACTCTCATCGGGTGCAAATAAATTAAATATCTTAATGATTTTCAACAACAAAAGGCAGCGAATATTATTTATTGTTTGCACACCTACCGCATTGTATCCCTAGATGGCATTTCGCTGAAAGCGATTTAAATTCCATTTTCAATGGCAAATTATAAACCGATTGCAATGGGCGCAGAGACCACCTGACAGGCGATTAATATTGGCAGCTGGCGTGGTATCTAATAAGATGTGTGCTAGTCCATAAAATCACAGATACCAGACTGTTAAGAGGCAATGTGTATACAAAAGGCTTCTGCGCCATAAGGCGAAACATTTGTATGTTCGGTGTAGGTTCAAGTTCAGCTATTGTTTATCCAGCTAATAATGTTTATGATTCGGTGATTTCGGTGATTTTGAATAAACGAAGGTCGCGATTCAAATAATGTGTGTTTAATTGCTTCAATTAACATCGCCGTAAATGGGAGCTAAGTAGCTCAAAGCCCATTTCTTAATATCCATATTTGAAATGCAATAAAGCTAACCTGTTGTGTTTTGCTGATTTTATGGATAGACTTTATATAACTTATTGAGCACTAACGCAGGTAATTGAGATTAGTCTCGATATAATTATATGTTAGGAATATATTTTATAAGAGATTTGTTATTAAGTTCTGGATTTAACACTTTCTTCTTCAATATGCTTCGACTTTGCTGGACAATCAGCACGGAGTAACACAGCATCCCCTTCGTCAGCTGAAGAGTTTAAAACTCCACATCCTAGCCAAAAATCGAAAAGTCATCAAAATCAATAAATTGTTATAAAAGTCTGCGTATACTTTCGACTTTCGTAACGGAACGTATGAATGAAGACTTTCACTTTCACTTGCATTTCAAAATTATAATCGTATTGAGATGGAACAATTATTTGAAATAGTTACTATTGCACGAGATGAAGCATACACTATTTTTGATTTGCTTGCTTTTCGCAATCGAATTGAGTTTCGGAGATTTAGCTCTAATGCCGCCAATTATTAAAGGTGAGCGCCTAGATTCTACTCATAACGCGATTCAATCTGTTTTGATTTCCAATTGTACTTCAGGTATTTGTCATGCGCGTAAATTTGGTGACTGTTTGGAGGCGAATACTTTCAGACACAATGACAGCACTAGGAAGTGCGAAAAAGTGTGTCGACATGTGGGAGCTTGTGGAATCTTTAATCTGAATAGGGAATAAGTACCAATCTCGAAATAAATGTATATTGCTGATATTTAAATATGAAATTGGCACTTTATTATTGATTGTTGACTATGACAAGAAGACTACGTTTGCAGTCGTAATGCTGAATTTAAAATAGACTCTTACGAAAAATACGATGAATTCAAAACTAAGCAATGTCGGAATGTGCAACAAACAGCAACCGTGGCTGTTAACGATGTAGTCAATGGCAACCTACAGCAACAGCTGAAGAGTTTAAAACTCCTAGAATCCACAAAAACTCCAAATCAAAATCCAAAAGAAAATTATAATTTATTATAATTTTTTTGTTTTTATAATTATTATATTCAGGGTATACTTTCGACTATAAGAACGTATGAATGAAGACCTTCACTAGAATTTCAAAATAATAATCTTATTCAGATTAAAGAAATATTTGAATAGTTACCATAGGTCGAGATATGAACCATTGTGAGAGATTGTAAACTCACTTATTACGAGCCGCACCTACGATTAAAGCAAGCATTTTCAAGTAGTTTAATAACGAGTTCAATAACGATTTGTTATTTTATACGACGCAGATAAATGTTCGACTTTGTTATACAATAAAAAATAAATACAATTAGCACGCTCGACTAACGAAAATAGTTCCAAGCAACTAAATTAGTTACGCTACGGTCTAGATCAGTAATATATGTTAATAAGATATATCGGCTGTCGTAGTCATTACGAGGTTGCACTATGAAGGTAACACTGTTTTTAATTTGCTTGCTTTTGGCAATCGATTTGAGTTTTGGGGGTGGAGATGATATGCAGCAAATTGTTGGAGGTGAGCGCCTAGATTCTATTCATAGCTCGATTTAGTCTCATTTAATTTCGAATTTTACTTCAGGAATTTGTGGTGGTGCGAGTAAAAGTGGTGTCTGTTTGAAGGCAAATACTTTCAACTACAATGCCAGCACTAGGAAGTGCGAAAAAGTGGAACGAGATGGGGGAGCTTGTGGATTCTTTAAGTTTAAGGAGAGATGCGAACAATTATGTAATAGTGTGAAAAAGGAATTAGTTCGCAAAGCAAACCGCTTGCCCCAACCAATCTCCAAATAAATGAATATTGCTGATATTTAAACATGATTTTATCATTTTATTATTGAGTGTTGACTAGGACTGGGAGACTACGTTTGCAGCCGCAATGCTGAATTTGATTAGATATCTTACAATGAACTGAATCAAACGCAAAGTACTGCGAATTCAAAACTGAGCACAAAGATGGGATCGAGCTTTTTTACAGATTTGTTTTCATCGAGTTTACAATATAAGAAGCTAGAATATAAATTGTTTCATAATGTGTGCAACTGTAACTAAAATGCATAAATTCCAATTAGATGCAACCACTATATAATATCGACTCAGAACTTATTTATTACCAAACAATATGAGGACCTTGGGCCTCGTAGCACTGCTGCTCTTGCTGGCGTCCTGCGGCGCGCCTAGTGTTAAGAATCGTGAGTTTAGTTTTGAAAAATACTGTGCCTAGCTCGACTTTACATGCACAATTGATATTTATAATTATAGAGATATGCAAACGCAATGCTGGTAAAGTAAAGTGTCCAAATGGCTTGTGGGCTTTTAACGAAATAAAGAAGAAATGCTTTCATGTTGAAGTCACAAGCTACAAATACTGCGGTATGTTTTATAATAAAAAAGGATGTGTTGATTTTTGCATAAAAGGTGCTTTCGGCAGTCGCAAGGTTAATAAATAACTTGAAAATAAAAATAAAATGGACAATTTCAGTATAACAATCACTTTCTACGCGCTCTTAGATTCTGTTCTCTGTACATTATGCAGTTGAATTTTGAGCAGATGTATGCTGGATATCTGTTTGAGTGAGAGTACATGTTTCTGTTTCTTTGCAAACTAGTTTGTTTTAGAGCGCTTTTCAAAAAACTTGCATCTGTTTGCCGCAGGCAGTTCATAATTCTTAAATCACTTTTTGATGCATTCTTTAAGAAAAATTTTTACTGACCAAACACAACAATTACTTCTGTTTTTAAGCTCTCAGCATTCTGTTAATAAATTATAATATAAATAAATAAGAAAAGTACCAAACTGAGTGACTTATATAGGAAATATGTTGCCCATCTTTTATAGAGTATTTAACCTTCGTGTTCCAGGCGGCAACTCTTCTTTATTGTTTCAACTTTCCAAGCAAATTACAAACTGTATTTTTTTTTTGGTTAGTTTTGTGTACTTGTGAGTGACTTTATTTTAAGGACTTCAGTGGCAGTGTCATTGGCAGTCGATTGTCCTTGCTTGTTGTCTGGTTTGTCGCTGTCGCTAATGAAACATACTTCTAGTGCGTTGTTATTTCATTTGTTATCCTTCATCTTCAGCTGGCTGATTGCCTGGCTACCCCGCACCCGCACCTCGTCTTGTCCAACGGCATTTAGCTCATTTTCGCTGGCACTGCTCGGTTTCTTGTGTCCTCCGTTTTATTAGATTTTATTTGCTTAGCCTTTATTTGTCTTCTGCCGTCATTCTCGTTCCAGCACTAAGTGTCCAATTTCAGCTGGGTGTTTTGTTCTATCCATGCCATGGGCATTCAGCGAAAGAGTGTGATAATTTTTGCATACCCATGACCAATGTTACAGATGGGTATGTCCAGAAAGGGCGGCGCGAATGAAAGGCATTTGATAGAAATATTTCTTTCAGTATTTCAAAAGGTTTATCTTAGTTAGTATACAGATACTTCTTGCGACGAAGTCACTGAAAAGAAATATTAAATAAAAGTTTATTGATTTTAAATAGAAAATTATCCAAGTATATATAAATTATATTATTCAAAGACTTCATGTGCTGTGACAATTTCCTGCAGGGTATCCCAGAACAAGCAACGTCTGTTGGACGTCCGATTCTTTTGTTGTTGCTTTTGTGCACAGCACAGGAAATTTTTGTAGCCGCATTCCTTTTGTGCTTTTCAGCTGTGGCGCTCCTTTTATTTACTTTGGCCTTTTGTTTGTTAGTTTTGTATAAAAAGTTTTGCTTGCCCACAGCTCAGGCTGAGACCAACTGGCCACATGTGCCTGCAAGCCAGCCCCGTCCCGTCGCTAGTCCTTTTGAGCTGGCCTTTTTTTTCGTTAAAGCTGTGTGTGTGTGTGTGTGAGTAAATTCGTCAAGTTTGTAAACACAAATTATGACAATTAAGTTGACTGTTGGCTTGTTTGAGTTGCTTGGCTGCCGTCTGCAAACTTTGCTTGCAATTTAAGTCGAAATTGCATTAAATTTTCTTTTCATGCACATTACGCATACGCCACGTGATGAAGGTAAATTCGATTACAAAAATTTTCTTTGACATGCGCTGCTGACGCTCCGTTGCTTAATTTTCATTTTCATGCATTTGTGTGGCAAAAGTTGAAGCTGCCAATTGCAGTTGGCCCCAGGACCTGAACCCACAACGTGTTAAAAGTGCAAGGTGCGAGATGCCGGCATTCACAATTGTTCATTAGATTAGCAAGTTGGTAAAGTTTGCAGAGCTCAAATGCCACTTTCACGGCTGCTGACACACTCGAGTTGAATCCGATTGGATTTCTTTGCAACGTTTCTCCTTTTTTTTTTTATTTTTATTTCTCCTGCAAGTATTTTATGAATTTTCTTATCAATGCAAAGGCGAAGGCGACAAAAATTTACGTGCAAAGTGGCAAGTTGTGACAACGATGGGAAGGACGACAGCGGCAAGGACGCAATGACAGAATGAGTAGCAAGCAAAAGTGTGTGTGTGCGTGTGTGTGTGTGTATGGGTCTGTTTGTGAGCGTCTGTGGCAACTTTTGCGTACTTGTGTCCCTCCCATCGCCTTTCACAATTTGTCATTGGAAGTTGCTGCTGGAGCTGCCGATAAGAAACTTTGGCTTGATATGAGTAAAATGCGGCTATTGATGGTAAATGTTAGCAGTAAGTCCCCTTGGCGCTTTCCGCTTGAATTAACATTTGTAAAGATCTGACTGTAAGTATAGCATGGCAAAATAAATATTTTATGAGTTGATTTGAAAATTTCGACATATTAAGTGTGTAATATGTATTTAAGCATGATTATTCTGATTATCGTATTATCAAATCTTTAATAGGATTATGTTTTTGCTTACTCATGCTTTTTGTAAATTAGACATATTCGTTAAAATATTTTCCACTTCAACTACGTTTTCGCATTTAAGGCAAAGTTTACCTTCAAGGGTATAGAGTTACGGCATATGCAACTTTGGATGTATATACTACACAAAGGTATAAGTTAAGCACTTTGTTTGAAAATGTTTTGGTTTAATTTAATGCTGTCAACTACAGAGTTTAATATTTATTTTCTATAACTGTAACAAAATTGTTATCTGAATAATAAACTAAATTTGTTGTTCTTTAATATATATATTAAAAATATCTAAGATTATATGTTGCATGTGTGATGTCTTAATGAGCCATTTTTGTATATAGTATACAATATAATAATAATAAAATGTTTAAAAAGAAATGCAATTTAAAATCTTTTTTTTTACTTAAAAATCAGAGAAAAGGTTAATGTACCTATTTATTTTCTTTCTTTCTTAAAAGCAGAGTCACTGCAACACCTGCCGTTTGCAATGGGCTAGGGCTCAGTTACATATGCACAAAAGATACATAGATACAAACATAGACGGGCGCGCACACGATGTGCGCAGCTGTTACTGGGCCTTGGCCGGCAAATACAAGCACAAATACAAACATAAAGCACAAACACACGCACACACACACAGTCAAACACACGCACACACGGTGGCAGTAGGCAAACGGAAGCAGAAAGAGAAACACTCGAAACGCTTTTGGGCTTGTCTATGTGTGTGTGTGTGTGTGTGTGTGGGTCGCACCGCTGGCAACCTGCAAACTTGTTAAATGGCGCGAAATTCTTTTCAATTTCAATTTCGGACTGTAGGCTTCTAACATTTTGTGGGAGTTGCTGTTGTTGTTGTTGTAGCGTGTTGCTGCTTGTTGTGCTGTGTTCTGCGAGTGTTCAAATATTTGCATTCGAACTCAATTGGTTGCGTTTTGTGTTTATTGCCTTTTGCTAGCTGGTAAAATTGAACGTGTTTTCCTTCATTTGTGTTTTTTGTTGTTTTCAATATTTCTGTGAGCTGCGAGCGGCATGTTGACAACCGGTCAGCTGGGTTAGCTGGTCAGGTGAGCCACGCCTCCTTTTCGCCTGACAAAAACGCGCAACGCAAATGGAAATTCAAACTAGCTGGCAACGTTTTTGAACCCGTATGTCAAACGCACTGGCTGAAATAAAAAAAAAAGAGAAGAGTATAAGCTCTAACTGGGCGTGGCTGTTGGCTGTTTTTGTTTGGGCTCGCGGCAGGGTTTAGTCTTGTTTGCACAGCTGACATTTTGGTCAAGTTTGTGCTGCATTAAAAGGAGGGGAAAAAAAGAAACAAAATTGTTTATACGCCGCGCATGCCACAAGCGATCAGAAGAAAAATATGCCTGCAAAATAAACGAAATTAAACAAATAGATATATGTGCGTTTATATGCAACGGATTGGCCCATAAATTATGGCCATTGGCCTAATGCATTTGGCCTCGTATTAATCAATGTGTCTCCCGGTTCAAGTTTGCTTTTTTTTTTATTTTTTGTATGGCTGCGCGTTTTGCATTTGTTGTAATTTATTTGCTCGGCACAATTATTTGCATTTTATTTTGGTCATTTAAATGGATTTTTTTGTCTGCCGTTTTCAGTGTTTTGTCTAGCAGCAAATGCATAAACATAAATCAAATTGCTTTTGTTGGGATGCAGCGCAACGTTGATTTGCATTGGGGATTTGTTTATAAATCCGCAAATACACGAAGCTCTAAATAATAGTTTAGCGTATTTATATTGCTTTTTAATTGGCCTGGCCTAGCTAACTTTTTTTTTAAATTGCTGGCAGCATATGCTGCCGTGTGGTCATTTAATTGCATAATATTTTTTATAGATATTTTCGAATACACATTAGATTTTTTTTATGGTTTTTCAATTTTAATTTATTTTGAATAATTAAAGATATGTGAAATTTATTGCACGCTGCCTAAAGCGTTGGCAATTGCATGTTAACGGAATTATATTTAAATATGCTTTTGAGTTTGTTTCCATTTTATTTAAAAACTTTCGGGTTCATAAGCTAATAAATGTTTAAAGCAGATTTCATCTTCTTAATTTTAATTGTTGATTATGCAAACTCCAGCTTTTGCTTTGGGCAAACTTTTTGGACAGGGGCTTTTTAAAATTTAATTAAAATTAATGCCTAAGACAAACTTTCGCTGTAAATTGAATTTTTTTATTTCGCATTCAGCTTTCAAGTTACAATGTAGACGAATTCTGAATCAGTTAAATTTCAGATATTAACCCAATTCCATACGAACTTGCTTGCCCCTTGCTACCAACACTTTCTGACTGGATGAGCCCCTGGCCCAAGCTACAATAGCCAGTTTTCAATGTAGCTCAAATAATTTTACGACAGTTTTCACTCGAAGATGTCTGTAAATCAAATGCAGATAATTTTTCGAACACGCCACAGTGCATGTTCGGGGGGCGGGTGGTGGGACCTTGACACACCTAGACAGCAACTAAAGCGTTCACAGGAAATAATTGTTCAGTGAGAACCACAAATTATAACAATTTTATGGCACTTTCTTTGTCAGTTCGGTCGTGGGCAGTAAATTTACATACTTCATGACGAGCTGCCTGCAGGCAACTTTACTTTATTTATGCCCAAAATTCAAAGAGTCCGGCCACCAACTTTTCCC